TTGTAAAATAGATTGACATTTGGGACTTTTACACTATTACAGTCAAATTGCTACTTTAAAGACAGTTCATGATTGCAGTGTCTTAGAGTGCTGAGATTCAGTTTGTCTTTCTGATGGCCTCTTTCCTACTGCTGCAATTTAACCAATGTATGTTTTTGAAAGCATATGACTGCATATTTTTATTGTTGTTTAATTTTTTTACATATACATATTAAAGTACAGTCTCTCTCTGAAAGAAGAAGGGACACAAAGGTCTCCAGTCTAGTGATCACTAAGAATTCAGAGGTTTTGTTTCCAGCTGTATAAGAAATTCTTGTATGACCTTGGTCAAGATGATTAACCTCTGTGCAAAATGAGGACCATGAACAGCATTTGCCAGTCATAGGTAAAACCAGGTAAACATAGGAAGTTCTGCAAGATGTTTGGGGATCTTTGATAGGTAGGTAGTGTATATGTACTGAAACAGGCAAAGGAGAGGAATGGTCAGAGCAAAAAGCTAGAGTTGAAAAAAATAACAGAAAAAGAAAGAATATCAGATAGCATTTTAAAAAGGCTAGGAGATGAGTGAGATGATGAAACCAGTTGGGATCATTTGGAGGTGAATAATTATAAAATACGTGGTCCTATTAAGTCTTTGTAGGGCACGTGAAACACACTACGATGAATGTGTTTGTCTATGTACTTCTATGTACTTCTAAAGTGTACTTCTGAAGGCATTTCTGAACCTTGGGAATCCACTATGCTGATCACCCTTCATCAAAGTTCAAGAAAAACCACAGTGAAATAAAATGTGAAAATCAAAGAGGAAATATTTTCTCCAATTTGTGCTACAGCTTGCATAAAATGCTAAAAATTAGCATTGAAAAAAAAAGTGAAGAACAACATCATTCTGTAAAAAGTATAGGTGAGCCAAGTTCTCATTTAAGAAGTGTGTTTCAAAATGTTGTGTTCTGCTTGGGAGAAATTTTCCCTAGTCCCTGCTTCAATGTATCTTCTCTGCTACTTTTTTTTTTCTTTCTTTTTACTTTATTTAGGCTCATGTATCATCATTTTGATTATACTTTGTAAATATATAAAAATTTATAAATATTCACTTTTCACACCACCTTTTATGCATAGAAGCATAATGTGTTCTGAAATCATGTGTCAATATCCAAATCTTGTTTCAATCAGTATTCTTAATCAGTGAAAATAAAGTACATTTTTACTTTTATTTCCTAATTCATTCTCCAACATTAAAAAAAGAGAGACAACAAACTGTAACAATCTGAGTGTTTTAATTTACCACATTTTAGATGGTTGTAAGTTTTTGCATTTACTGCTGCTGAACAAGGCTTATCTCAGTTTTTTGTTGTGACAAACAGTTGATGATTTTCAGTTAAAAGATTGACTAGAGATGCAGAGATTGATAATTGTCTCAGGACGAGGTGAATTTGGGAAAAGAATATCTAGAAAATAAACCTGATTTTCCATAGGACATATATATATATATATATATATATATATATATATATATATAATATTAAACCAGGTGAGGGACTTATTGACAAAGCTTATCTAGTTGCAGTATTTAGGAGAAAACAATCTGTGGTGTTCTGAAACACTACTCAGTTGAGCAGTCTTAAATCAGACTATACTGCTCATGAATGGAGACTTTTTCTACTAATTACTGGAAATTGATTGCAAGTTTCTCTGTCTTACAAAACAGTTAAGATCACTTTGGTGGATAGTTTGTTGATACAACATCTGCTTGCATCCAGTGCCTCAAAACTATTTGCCTGAAAACCCCTTGGATAGAGTCCATTTGTTCTCCAGTTCAAATGGCACTACCCAGGAAAGCAATTCTACCATGTGCTGAGCAACGTCAGCTCCTATTAACTGCAGTTCAAGTGAAGAGGCACAGCCCTTCTTAGGAGATGCAAGGTAGTGTCAACACAGATTCTAAAGCTGGAATTCAGTTCTTTGCAGAAGCTCTGCACAAAGCCTGTGTATCATTTAAGTGCCACCTAATTCTTTATAATGGAGCTTGGAGTGGATTTGAAGAAGCTGATAGGCTTTTTGCTCTCTTGTCTGCAGAGGGCTGCATTACACCCCTGGTGAATATACACAGTAAAAAGGCAACTACACTGCCTCAGGAAATACACTATATTCCTTTGCTTTGACTAGTGTAACTCAGTTTCAACTACTGATGAAAATTCTTTGATATTATGCTGATAAAAATTCTTGTGCATTTTGCTCCCTTCCTGTATTACACATTGAGCTTCACTCTCATACTGTGATATAATGTGCAAACCAAAAAGTGAAAATGCAAAAATAGATGTAGTCCTGCAGTCAAGAACAGGGCCTCCCTCATGGCACTGTGTGTGAGGTGAGGCCCCTGAAGCAAAGCAATGAGTGGGTGGAGAAGCAGAATTAAAGGGACATGAAAATCAGTAATGGGGAAGCAGGGCTGGAAGAGGGCGTGGGGGCTGAGGAGGCACAGTTTTGATACTGATTAGCTTTAAACCATGTGAGCTGGCTAGCTTTTCCCTACAAAAAAAGTTCTGATTCTCAGGGCTAAAAGCATGAGCTGGTCTATACACAGCATGGAACTGTTTCAGATTTTACGTTTTGTAAAATACCCTTGGTCTGTTTTAAATTTGTGTGGATATAGTAAATACCTAGAGCAAGGACCCCATGGATTTGTGATAATACCAATAGCAGCCAAGCAAACACTGAGAGTAATTCAGACATACTTTTTTTTTAAATAAGATTACTGCAAGTCATGTTTCCAGGAAAACATCCTAGCTGAGATACTAAAGGCAATCTAGTGGATATTTCTGAGTTTAGCTTAGAATTCAGTCTTTCAATGATCCTTCATATGGTTGAGACATTTATAGAAATAATCATTTTGATATATGAATTAAGAAAGATATGCATGCAACTAGGTCAGTTTTGGTATTAACATTTTACTGAGCTTTTTCTGTTAAGCCTGTAACTGGATGCATGTCTTCACTGAGAAAGGATGAGGCTATTATCTGTTGCAGGGGAGGGGTTAGTCTCAAAAACTGGTATGATCCAGTTATCAGTAGAGTAGTACCTCTGGTGCCCAAGTAGAATCCACATTTCTGTGTATTATGTGCTATAAAAGCCTAGCAGAGTTGCTTCAAAAAACTGTAGTTATGAATCATTTCACCACTGATTTATATATTGCCTAATGAATAGTGCAAATTCCTATATAGATATTTAGGAGCTTAGGAGGTTTTATAATTAAAATATTAATATGAATTTCAGATTGAGCTTCCACTGAAAGAAATCAGGATTTGTTATATTACTAGAGATTACCAACAATTATACCAGAGCTGAGGACACAAGTTGTTTTGTGACAAAATATTGGAAAGGGTTTTATTAAAAGACTGTAAATTACACTTCTCTTTCTTGCCATGATCCAGTGGCATTGGGAATTGTATTCTTAAGTAGTTCTAGACAGAAGAAGTCAAATTGAATCACACTTTCAGGTGAACATATAGCTGCAGCTGCCACTGGGATAAAGGCCTGGTTTTGGTCTCCTTGGACCTCAAATTAATTTGTTGCAGCATAAGCTTCTTGTACTCTTATTTCACTATTTCTCCTATAGTTCTCTTTTTTTCTGGGCTCATGATTATTGATGTGTTATGTGTCACACATAAACATAGAGGAAGGCATGATCTGTGTCCCCCTGTATGGAGCAAGTTCTGGCCTTGAATCCTAGTTATGTATAAATTGAAGTGGTGAAACTTTCTTGTAGTCCAGGCAAGATTGGTGAGATGATCTTTGATGGAACTGGGGACCATTTTCTGCAGAATGAAAGCCTTACAGTTTGACTAAAAATTATTTTGGGAGACCTTACCTTGTTTAGCATATGGCATTGTGCAAGTGAGTGTCTCTCTGTATATTTATTTTATAAAAAGTATCCAAAACACTCCACTCTTAATATATTGTCATCAGTGAAGAGTGAAAGAATAATGGAATACCAGATATTAGTAATATTGTTTCTATTCTATGAGAAGGAACCCAGATACTACAAAAGTGAACTCAAAAGAAGCAGTATTATAGTCCAGAAAGCAGCCTACAGGTATTAAAACCCTTTCTCTCCCTACCTAGACAAAAAGAATTCTCCTTTACAACTCCCTTGTTTTAGTGCATTGCAGCCAGGGCTCTGTTGTTCCAAGACTACATGCTGTGTATGACCTTGCGGAAATTTTGCAGAACTGGCTTGCCAGAGACACAAGCATTTAGAGTAGACACAACACACGTATCACACCAGCTCTCTGTTAGAAACCTTCCTGGCTAGGCTTCTTTTCCCTTGTAGTAATAGGCTGTTTGTTCCCGTCTTTTTCCTCAGCTTATTGTCTCCTTCATGATTTCTCAACTTTTGCTTCATTCAACACCAGTCCTTCTTATGTTCCTAGTTTCTGACCTTGACTGTACCCCTACCATTGCAAGAATTACAGAGTTTCACAATAGCTGCCATTATAGCAACCCCTCTAACTGTTTATTATAGTTTTTCTCTTTCCCCTGCATGTCTCATATCTACTTTTAGTGTAAGCATTTCAGGATAAGAACTGTCTGCTCAGGTTTGTAGAGAGTCTAACACAAGGGATCCCGCTTGTGGGACACCAAAATTATTAGTTAGGATAGTAAGTCTTCAGTTATTAGTCCCCCCAACAACATTTACTTGATTGGAAGGAGCATGAAATTAGAACAATACCTAGTTTCAATGTTCTTTTGATTTATAATAAAGCTGTATTTTGGGTTTTTTGGTTGGTTTTTAAGTTTGAAATTAAATTTGTTGGCACAGCAGGTATTGCAAATAATTTTGTAAAGTGCCTAGGGCTGTCTACATCATAAACTATTGCTGAATTATCAGATAATGAAAATAGACAACTCAAATGAGAAAGTGTTTAGAGATAAGTGAAATGTGAATTCTCCTGCCAATTGTTTTTTGTTTTGTTTTTTCTTCTTCCTTTTCTGTTTCATAGCACGAATTATCAAAACAAAACAGTGGTGTGAAATGCTTCCATGTTTAGAAGGAGAAGGCTGTGATTTGCTAATCAATAAATCAGGCTGGACCTGTACACAACCAGGAGGACGGATAAAGACAACCACGGTAGGTCACTTCTCTGTTCTATACTTCTTCAATTTCTTATTCACTTTAGTTTCCTGGAAAACAACAAGTGAGATTTTTAATTGTTTTTCAGCACTTCTATGTAAACTTTATAGCTTCATAATTAATCTGTGTGCCCAAGTGTGCATGGTGAAATACACAGCAATATTATCACAAAGTACAATATTGGAAAAGATAACCAAGGAAAATGTGTAATTCCCATAGTTACTCAGAGTAGATATTATATCAAGGTTTTCTTATAAGACACCAGGGGCTTAACTACCATTTGTATCCAGCCTGAAGACAGTATCTTATTGTTTCAACAGACACAAAACCTTCTTATGCTGTGGTAATGCAGGGTGTAAAACTCAATGTGTGGTCTAACATGGTGAGAAGACATCTTTGAATGGGACTTCCAAAGAAAATATTTTTGCATTTCCAACTATACTGGAAAAACAAGTTGCACAGATAGATCTTTAGTTTTCAGTGAGATATACATAAAATATAGCAAAAGATCCCTTTTCCCACCTTCCTTTGGCTCTGGTTTGTTGATAAATCCCTCAGTTCTTTGATTAGGTGTCTTAGGGCATATGCTTGTATTGAAGCTGAAAGTATGTATGACAGTAATAGTTTCTAGGGCCTATAATGTTGATACATTATACAGATTTCTAGAAAATGTTCTGAAATTCCAGCAATTATTTGACATAAAAAACGGAAAAAATCTGAAGAGATATAATAGAGAAATTCTGTGATAGCTTGCTAAGCCTCTTGAAATTATTTCCCCTCTTTATAATATTTTTTTACATTTACAGGGAGCTTGAGTGTAATTTAAATAAGTGCAATTTCAAGAATATTTAGTCTTAAAAGTATTTATCAGTGAGAACTAAATTAATACCCATCATCCCCTGCACAATTTCTCTGTCTGAGCAGGAGACAGACAGCAGTATAAAATATTTTATGGTTTTAGAATGCCTGTATTTAGAAAATTAACATGATTTTCACTTTTTAATAAGTGGAGATTCAATAATGCTTTATAAGATACCTACAAAGCATATTTTATAGATTGTGATCACTGTGTTTATGCTTCCGTATTTACCAGATATAATATTCCTTATGGACAGGGTTGTAAGGCTTAACTCGTCTCTGAGGTCTTACTTAAATATAGTTTGTCTTTATATCTTTTGCATTCAAACTATGTAAATCTTTTGCATTCAAGTTATGTAAGAGTGACATTAAAAAAAAAAAACAAGGGAAGGAAAAAGGGTTTTTTAAACATTAATGCCAACATTCAAGGGCAAGTAGATCTAATACCATAACTTTGTCATACTTGAAATATAGTCTTAAATCTTGTTAATTCAGGGGTATTTTTTGTACCAGATGTAAACGGAAAACCCATGTACTGTGACACATTGCCAGCTGTCATTTTAGCTCTTTATTTGATGTTTAATGCTAATGGCATTACTGAGTAATGCAAAGTAAGCAGATGATCTATCCTTCAGTTTCTTCCTCTTCTTCACTTTAATGAAGTGATTCAGATATGCTTTGAGATTAAACATCAGAAGCCTGATTCTGAACTCTTACTTGTCTTTATAGCTATTTAATGCTATTGACATGAATGGAATGACTCATGACTTTGATTAATGTAAATGAAATCATCATCATTCCCCATCAGTAAAATTAAGACCACGGCAGGTGTAATATTGTAAAACAGACTCTCCCCACACAGATACGTCATTGTCATTGGTAAGGAAAGATTTTGCCAGAGAGACAACTGTGGAACAGCTCTGAGCATAAGCCCTCATCTAACATCAAGCAGTCTTCGACAGTTGGTTTCACACATGCAGACACACAACAAACACGCAGTACTTTCCAGTCAAGCCAGACTAGCAACTCAGAATGCTTACAGAAGCTCTGAATGCAGAAGGGGAGGAGGGAAAAAGACAAGAAGACAAGCAAATACAAAACCCTGCAATAAACTCTAGACTATAATACAGTATTCGTAAGACATTAAGAATTTTTTAAAAATGTTCTTTAGCTACTTCGTTGAAGAATAAGCTTTGGACCATGGTAGTAGATTTGAAAACTGTATTGTAAGATGACTCCATGAAATACATGACTGTGCTTAAAAGAAAAAAAAAATCTGACAGAAACACTTAGAGGCATTATTTACTGTAGCAGTACTCTCAGATCTACAGCTGCTAATGCAGTAACTGCTATTTCTGCTCCTAATCAACACACATGAGTTGTCACGCACTATCATGGTATTTAAATGAACTAGGAAGGACTTCTGGCCAGGAAGGGCCAGAAAAATGACCACCAGGTAGTATGGAGAAAAAAATGTCCAGACATACTGAATTAGTTACTGTACCCTGTTCTTAAGTAGAAATAATTTTTGACCACATCTCCAGCAACAGCCAGATTAGGTCTTTCATTATTTAGCTGCCAATTTTGTTAAAACACATTCGTTAATCTAATATCAGCAGCCTTTTCCTGCTGATATAACTTGCATCTTAAGGATATTTTTGGCAGTAGGTCTTGAGTTATCATACTGATAGTAGATCGTATAGCAGAGATATCACTTCTTGATAAATGCTGACAATAATTTGTCACCCATACTAAAGTCAGAACAGCGTTGAACTCTGATGGACTGAGAACAACTGTTGTGTTAATACCAGCTTTTCACATTGATTCCAGGAGGTTTTGTAGAAATGTAACTTTTTAACTACTGGGTTTAGAAGCAGGAAGTGTAAAGTTAGGGCTTATAGAGGTCTTATAGATGACATGAGCTCCGTTTTAAGTGAGAATACAGTTTAGGCTCTTAGTTAAATATGGTTCTTAAAAAGAAAGGAAGAAATAGGATTTGTTTTCTGCAGATGAGTTAAGCATTTAGTATTTTTTCTATGATAGTTCCAAGCAAACAACAAGTGAACAAATCCATTGCTGCAAAAACAAAAGTGCAGTTTCTGTAAAATGTTTGGAAAGGGCTGCTGCTTTTTACTTTATATTTTGTGTCAAAATTGTTTACACATTCTGTGCAGAGCCAGATTTTTTCAACTGGCTGGCACTTTTCGTGATCACCTCTGGAAATAATGCAACCAAATCAGAATTCTCTCCTCACATGAGTAGCAGTGTTTTATATCCATTTTGTGCTCACTTTGCAAAGCTCTAAATGACTGCACAAGGTGCAAGGCAAAGGAAAATCAGACTCTAAGTATACTCTAAATGGATCTGGATGTCACTTCTGCCCTGTTGTTCTTTCTACAAGGTGTGAATGAACCAAAGATTTTTCATCTGCTAAGAGGCTTTTAGAATTGAGGACTGACTGGGCTAACTGCCAATCTATGTATTAAGAGGCTGACTGTCAATACAAGGAAACAATATGGCAACTTGTAAAAGAAGATAGCAAGAGAATACTACACAATTGTTAGCTATTTTAACATACTACGTACTTTCATAAAGCAAATGTCCTTACAGTCACTTTAAAATCTCCTGCCTTTAAAAATTTCTTCTCCTTTTGCTATTCTCATTACTTTTTCAATTATTTATTAAAAATTAAGGTATATATTTTTTTAAAAAGATTTGTAGTTTTAATAGTGCCAGAAGATATACCTGTTTTTTTGGGTTTTTTTTAAGTTGCTCGAGGGCCCTTCCATTTTATATTTCAAGTATAAAACTTGCTGGTGTATAGATGACAAGATGCACAATGCATTGTTTTTACAGGGAGATTAATTTTTAGCACCCAAGTGTATATATGTTGTCAATGATCCATCACTACCTAATTGTACTTAATTAATTCCTTCTTCTACATAATGCGATTTCAATGCTCGGAGCTTAACAGAACATTCATGCGCCAGTTCCTCAGTAGCTAACCTTTTAAACCTTTGCGATTTTACTGCTAAATTAGCTGAAGTGGGAAATTAAGGAATATGGAGAAGCTAAGAGAGAGCTCACAGTGGATAAGAGGTGTAATTACTCTGACATGGAGCTCAGTGCTTAGCTAGTAAAATTTACTAAGGATCTAGCTTCACCAGGGGACCTGACTTTCTTAATAGAGTTTACTTACACACAGAGCAACTTATCATTCCTCACCATTAATATAAATGACATGCTGGCTGGGTTGGAAAGGCAATTTGTTCCTTATCCTGAGAAATACAATACGTATTTGTATTGGCTGTAGTCTAAATCCTAATTTTTTTCAGCAGAGCTTTACCATACATATATGTATTATTAAGGTACCTCAAATAAAATATACTGGTTTGATTTTCAGCGCTGACTTGTGAACAATGTGCCTTCACTCATACCATTACATTCAGGTAAAAAGATATATATATATATATATGTACACACATATAAATATACATATATATATATATATATGTGTTACATATTTGTAACATACTTGAGAATTTACTTTTTTTTAGACTGAAGATCAGCTGGAAATATCCTGAGGCCATGGTCTAGTGGTCTGAGCTTGGGAACTGGGAGCCAGAAACTCTTGAGCTCTAATCCTGGCTCTGACAGTGACTCCCTCTGTGGCCTTGGGTAAGTCACTGAACCTCTCTGCCTCAGTTTCCCCAGCAGTAAAAATAAGATTGACAATGCTTAGCTCCATATGTCAGTGAATCTGGGAGTCCTGTCTTAATATCTTAAGAAGTTTAGCAATTCAGATTAACTTAGAAATAAAAATACTGTTATGTATAAATGTCCTTATTGGTAATATTCCTGTTGTTGTTAGGTATTCACATAACACTGGTATTTCTGTATTTAGCCTCACCTACGTTCCAGCTCTGAGTCTTTCTAAGTGTGCATTTCACATCTCCGCAGCTCAGCTGATTTCATTTGGTTAAGCTGGTTTTGGAAGTATTTTGACATCCTGCCAGTTCTATTTCTGTGTCATTCCAGAATACAATACCTACCAAAACAAGCTTTCAGGCAGCACCAGATTAGAACAGTGAAATGTTGCATGCATGCCATGCCAAATTACTTTTCACCCTTCCCCTTTGTTAGAAGTGGTCAACTTATGAAACAGATACAATAATACCAATTCTTTACATGTCATAGCCGTGTGCTTCAGTGTCCACTCTATAGATCTGTAAGCCATTCATCTGCTAAGTTCCTCCACTGTCTGAATTGGAACAGGAACACTACATATGGACCAAGATTACAGAGGACATTTTTTGTTTAAGAAAACCTCTATCTTTATTGCCACTAAGAGTAAATAGCTTAAGTCCTGACAGCCAGGACTGAGCTCTGAGACAATTGCTTCACCAAGCATTATGCATCACAAACTAACTCAGGTCTCAGTAGTGTGCTTCTGAAATTGATATTTGATAAGGATTTTCCAAGACCACACCACATAACTGAAAGTTAGCCTGAAATAACTTTCATATGTTAAAACATTGATGTGTTCTGCCTTTCGTGTATGCACACCAAACTGAGAAAGGGTAGAAAATGAATACTTTCTGCAGAATATCTTTGGCAGATCTTGTTGAGATCAAAAAAGTAATGAGATCTGCATCTATGACTGTACATATGAGCAGAACTAGGCAGAACTAGGTTACTTTTAATTAAATCTCATTTTAATGTAACAACGTATCTATAGAAGCAGTCCTAGCCATTGTACAATTCTTTAACTGATCCTTTTAATAATTTGTATTAATTTGATGCTCTCCTCAGTAGTACTAACATAAATTATGAGAGAAAGTACCACTTCTTTACATGTTAGAGCCATGTACTTCCATGGCCACTCTATTGATATGTACTACAAGGCCTAGATTCAACCTATTTATTTCCATGGCTTACAAGATATTTTAACGCTTTGAGCAGTTTCCATTACTCTCATTGTTTACAAAAGGAATCCTAATCTACAAATGTGTCATCACTGACAGTGCTGGAACTAGATTATTTTTTGCTAATTTCCAAGCAAGGTAGTATGGGAGTTGGATGTCATAATTCTCAGAAAAGTTAAATATGTTTCTAATTCTTGTCTTAGATAATAGTCCCTGTAAACAATTTACAAGCAGAGTGGTAAAATGGCCTTTTTTGTCCCATGTCTTAAGGACTACATGCACAGAGAAATCTAAATAGAAATAAATTCCTCATGAAGCTGAAGCATCTCATGAAGATGCCATATCGTTCCTTCAAAATACACAAGTTCTCTTGCATATCAGTAATGCTTCAACTAGTACAGTCTTTTCAAAGCTGTGCATTTCTTTGTCACGCCAAAGTATTGAAACGTTCTATTTTCCATTATCCTTAAAAAATACACTTCTTCACGTCAAATAACTGATCTTCAAGTCCTAAGCCAAAATGCTAGCAAAGATTTTGTGATTTTTGTAGACTTTATGTTGAAAGGAGCTGTCAGATACTTAAAGAATCACCTTAAAGAGATTAGCTGCATTCCTCTGTCGTGAATGATGAATACTGATTCTATTGATATTCAGGGATCCACACTGCCTGAAGAGAGACCAAAATTTATGCCAAAAATAACTGGTAGCAAAATCGCATGCTAAATGAAATCATAATTTATTAACATTTCAAATAAATCCTTGGAAGAAATTAGGTAAACTTTAGTTTTGTTCTTCACTTCTAGAACATGTATTTTCAAATTATAATGAATGATACTATGCTAATTTCTCTTGTCTTTTTAAAGTTATAGAAAATATGAATGCCCACTTCTGCATGGGCTATTTCAAAGAAATTGCAATTACTGTGCAAATAAAAATGACAGAACTTTTAGATAGATAAGACTTCTAGAGATATATTTTCTTTCAGAATTCCTATTGCTTAACTCATATTCATATTGGGTGTTCTAGCATTCAGTCCAATTTTACTATGCCACCTTAGAGACAGGACAGCTTTAGATTCAATGAGCTAAAACTAGTTTCTGATTAATGCTTATGAATTATGGCTTTACTTTTTTATATAGATTAATCTGTATTTAAAAGCAGTTCCTAAACTGTAAAATGAATTCCATTTTGATCTGTTTTAGGTTTGAACTGTCACTTTCAGTAAGAAAGCAATAGTTATTTCTACCCAAGGCAATAATAATCATTTTCAAACTTCTATTTTGTGGGTTTGCGGAATAACTTAGGTTTTCAGTAAAAACACCAAGCAAAATCTTTGTTGTTTTTTTTCCCTATACTTTGAAACCGGAATTCTGAAATGTAAATAAAACCACATTTGTAACTTGGCAAGTTCATTGATTACTATATCATAGTGTGAACCCACACAATAAATTGTTGATATCTAAGAATGTTCAAGTGTTTAAAGACTTTAAAAGCTGCATTTTAAGGAATGCCTAAATTGTTAAGTTTGTCTTGATCAACAGAAAATAATTTCATTTTAAATACTTTCTAAATTGCATAATTTTCCAGGACACTGACACCAGTAAAAATTATGTTTGTATATGAGGCTAGGATTCTCTGTATATGAGGCTAGGATTCTCTTTCATCTTAG